ACACAACTAAGAATGGACAACAGGCCTTCTGAGATGCAGGTCTGCTCTCAGTGCTTGAGGACACAGATTAGAAAAATGCCTGTTCCTTCCTTCACACGTTTCACTTATTGGTGGATTTATTTTCTTACCAAGCAAGAAGTAGGTCTAGTATTCCTAATTAAAATGCAGAGAAAGTGTAGATGTTTTTGATGTACTCCTCTCATAGTAAAGAGTAAATGAATGCCCCTGAATTCTCCACATTTTCCTATCTCCCAAAATAGTTCCCAAGTTCATACCTAGTCCCTGCTCCCACTGAGGGGTCTCCTAGCTGCCAAAACTCTGCGGGACCATGGAGAACTATTTACAGAGAAGCCTCTCCAAGGAGGTCAAGAGAGGACAACTGTCTATTCTTTAGGAAAAGTCCAAGTCCACAAAAAACTTGACATTTTCTTTACTTTCATTGGAAAAAGAAAAAAAAATCCTGGGGGAAAGTAAAATAAAAGTATGCCATTCCATCTTAGCCCACATGAACAAGAAACATAGACCATGTCAGTGTCTGAACACATGAGCAGTTGATGGCGGGTGAATGCTGGATGTTTTATGACTGCTAATGAGCTGTCTCTGATAGCCCGAGGCCTCGTTCAGGAACCCCATCATATTATACACCATGATAATTAGCCACATAATTAGAATTGACCATATCTCCTAATATATGCTTTACCCTCCTGAGACCACTGTACTCCCCTCTTTCTGTTCCTTATGTTTCTTGGCAAAGAAGGAAACTTGGCTTTCACAGCATGAATAAAAAGACAAAGCCGGTTTCTTATCATTAACAATAGCCAACATTAATTAAGCACGCACTAAATGCTACATACACTTCTATGGTATCTGCATACATCATTTCCTTAATTCTTACAACAACCTATGAGACGAGCACTATTATTATGTGTATATCACAGCCGAAGACATCAAAGAGAGACTGAATATCTTGCTGCAGGTCACATAGCAAGCAAATGAGTGAGCTGGGATACAAGTGCAGGTCGGCTGACTTCACAGTCCAAGCTTTGAAGCACTATGCTTATCATACTATAGCAAAGTCACTCAAATTATCTGAATGCTGTGCTGGGCACGGTACTTCTAAAAGAAAACCCACATCTCTGAGAACTAGTTGAGGAGACAAATTCGTGGCTGAACAAGCAGGACATAACTGAGTAGCACTGCTTAGCTCTTAGTGAAGGCCTCAACCACCATGACTTGTAACACCAAAAAAGTTGGAGAAGAATCAGAATGATCCACATTAGGAGATTAGTTAAATAAATCATGGGCAGAGTTATATATACAATTAAGCATCCATTTCAAATGACAGTGAGGTGGTATACTTAGCAACATTAAAAATATTCATGATACATATGAACTGTTAAAGAATCCTTTTGCAGGGATTCTGCAAATACTTTGCAGCATATATAATAAGACAGAAAATAAGAGACAAGAAAGAAAGAAGGAAGGAAGGAAGGAAGGAAGAAAAGAAGGAAGGAAGGAACGAAAGAAGGAAGGAAGGAAGGAAGGAAGGAAAGAAGGAAGGAAGGAAGGAAAGAAAGAAGGAAGGAAGGAAGGAAGGAAGGAAGGAAAGGTTAGGGAGAAGATCAGCAATCCTGAGACTTTTGGCCAGCTAGTTGCCTTTGGCTCAAGAACTTTTATCATTTCCTGTGAAAAGAGAGACTAGTAATCCAAACCAAACTTACTCTTCTCTGACATTTTTATGTTTATATTACCTTTAACTGTTTATTAAATTAAGTTCATGATTTATACATTAAGTGTGATTAAGATATTCTCAAATAATCTTTGTAAAAAAAATTTATGAACATGCTCCTGTCAGTTTTAACTTTTATAAATGAGCTAGAAACCATATCTCTGTGGTACTAGTTGTAGGAAAGTTGGCAG